TATTCAGGTTACCTGGACAAAAGTTCTGTGCAGAGGAAGATGTAAGGAAATGAGGTCGAAATTCAGGTTGAGATCAGCAAGCAAATTCTCTTAAATCCAACGTCAAAGTGTTTGTACTTTGTTCTGGAAGACACAGAAAGGCAAGGTAGATTTTTAAGCAGAGGATTTCAAACGTTCAAATGTATTTACTGAGCACCTTGTATATGCCAGGCCTTTTCTAGACTCAGCATTTAACAGTCATGAAGAAACAGACAAGAACACCTGATTTCATGGGGCTCATAGTCAAATGGGAAAAGGCAGACAATAAGCAAAGTAAGTAAGAAAGAAAGTAAATTTAGTAAATGTAAGATAAAGTAAATACAGTAAATTTAAAGGTGGTAAGTGCTAGGGAGAAAAATGAAAACAGGAAAGAGTGAAGTGAAGTAATTAGATTGTGTTTTAGAACAGCTCTTCTGGATTATTCAAAGAGATTAGAGATAGACTGCAGACAGATATACATATTAAAATTTCATTAAAGCGTTCACGGCAGGTATGGTAATGCTAGGAACCACAATTACCCAATGGGAATGAAGAGAAAGAGACAGATTCAAAAGAATCAACAGGACTCTATTAGGGATGTATTGTATATAGGATTGAAAAAGAAAACGAAGGATAAGAATGATGCTGTTTTCTCATCAAAGTTTGAGTAATCATTAGAAAAGGAAGATCGAGAGTCATGTTATTGTATGACCTCATTAAGGTCATAAGTTGCTTAACCTCTCCTAGACCACTAGAAGATGTTACTCTCCTCATTCTTTGAAACAAGAAGCACTAAATACATTCAACTTCTTGAGATAGTTCAGTATAGCCAACAATACTTCAGCACCTGGGAAATGGTTTCTTGGTATCTGAATAGTCATCCAATGGGTCATCTTGAGAGAAAATATTTGGAAAAATTCTGTACTTTTTTCTGATTATACGATGAACTCTAGAGGTAGAGACATTGGCCACCAGAAGACATCCTTCATCCTGTTTTACCTCCACAAGTCAGAAGAAGCACTGAAGTCGAGTGGTGTACAGAGAAAACTTACAGTGAATTTTTAGTGAATGGTAACTGGTATTACATTCGTTAACATTTCTGGATGTGATGGACACATTTTGGGAGTCAGTGTTCGTCACTTGGCTCAGACTGTTTTAGACTGGGACACTATCATGATGCCTCCGGATATATCCCACCCTGATAATGAATGTGCTGGTCGTCTCCGAGTCTCCTTGGTGACTCTCAATGCTCCCAACCACCTGTGTCGTCTGGCATCTGTGCCTGTTGCTGCAGTCCTGGCTGCCGCATCAACCACAACTCCATCTTTGTGTGGGCGAGCTGTGGAGACAGATTGTCCCTTGGTACAGGGTAGGGACTGTCAGTCATGGAGCAGAAACATGAGGCTGGAGCGTGGAGTGTAGATCAAGAGCACGCCTTGCATGGGTCCAATACCCGAAGTTAAAATGGAGCAGCTCCATATCTGTTCCCCCTCAGGGAGTTCCTGGACCCATCAGAAAGACTGCAGATTTTTTTCTTTTAATTAGAGGAAAATGAATAACCAGCGAGGGACTACTCCATTCACTGTGCCTCTCTTTTAGCCATTATCCAGTTTGGACAGTCCATTGATTGAGCATTGAAGAAATGTTGTTTCTAATGTAAAAGGACATTCTGGATGGGCACCAAGGCTGGCTGCACTTCTTCTCAAGGAGAAGGGAACAGCCTCTCCCCTGAAGTGAGACCAGAGTCCAGGAAGGAGTCACTGATTCGCAGGAGAGAGAGTCCCCTTGAAGGTTAGTACAACGGCTCTCAGAGAGAATTCTGGAAGCTACAGCTGACTCCAGCAGTAGTCATTGATTCTTGAAAGGCAATAGCAGCTTGTAATGGGAGACACAGCAACAACTTTGATTTCTTTTACCTAGGAAGAGGGCTTTATCCGAACTTCCTTTTATTTTGACTACATGCTTTTTTACCGTCTCGATTTTCTGTATTAGTTCTGGGCATAAAGGAAAGAGAAAAAGATTGAGGGAAACCTAAGGACATCTTCTTCAGTGGGAATTTAGAACTGCACCTGAGAAACTTCCTTCTTGCTGCTGAGTCTTCTTGCAGCAAAATGAATAAATGAAACTCATCTCTGATCCATGGGAGATGAAATACCTTTTTGTTCAAGGAGGGTCTCTGTCACCTGCTGGTTGTCTTAACTGTTGGTCTAAAGAAAGGAGTGTCCAATGTAAGGTAGTTTTCCAGAGAGAGAGAGAGAGAGACAAGGATCTTGGAGACAATCCAATCATCAAAGTATCACAGTGTTGTCCTGTGGCTGGATTTCTAGTTTATCCTCATCTGAGCTTTATCATCCCTATTTTGACCTTTTAAATAGATACTCTTCTCTCTCATACAGACGCCACCCATGGTGTGAGGATCTTTGCTTACACAAGTGTGAGCAAACCCTCACTTGCACAACTCATGCAAACAGCATGGGGAAGAGGAACCCAGAAAGAAATATACTGGGTGGGCACATAGCCACGTGGGCTCAGAGATACTTGAGCTTCCACCAAGACCAGAAAAACAATAGCCAACCTGCCAAATGACGCGTAAAGCCCTACACTTTACACCATATTACAGGTAAAGGCAGACACAAGAAAGGTGAACCTAGAGGTAATTGTATAAGTTTGGGGACTTCCTTCAGCCACCTCAAAATGTATTGCTGGTAAAATCCTAAAATGTGAAATTAATTTCTTCCCTGAAAGGGATGAAGAGAGAGATCAGATGCACATGGCATGAATCGCCCAGAGCAGGGCAAGAAAAGGAAAAAGGCAAATTTGGGACAATAAAAATAGGCAAGGAAGGGTGAAAGGGAAGAAGCCAGTACGTGACTGATCCTAGGACTCTCAGTAGCAGGCTCCAAATCAGTAAAACAAGCTGAGGCCGCCACGGTTCCTCTTCTTGGGTTTATAAAGGTGCGGATCCCAGGGAAAGACTGGCCGGGGGCGGGGGGAGGGCACGTATTATCAGTCTAGATGCAACAGAAAGGACAAAATAAAATACAACCCATTCAAATGCTAGCAAAAAGACCAACAAGAAGTCTCCCTGAGATCCGTGGAGAAATTCTTTCAGGACCTCAGATCCTGGCTGCGCTGTCCCCGTCCCCTTCCACCCTGTAGATGACCAGATAGTCAAGAAATTCAAGGATCCGGGCAACTCCTAGGGACTCCTGCGTTCTAATCCCGGAAAATACTCAGACTTCCATTGCTTCAAGGTGACAGAAGACAGTACTGATGAGTGCTCTTTGGTTTGGGCATCCCTTCTGAAGAATCAAGTCCAAATTCTGTACCAACGAGATTAAAACAGTACACTCTTAATTTCTGAAAATCATAAGAAGCCCCATTTTCTGTGCCTGGGTGACTCTCTGGGTTGCCAGCCTGTCAAAGCTTTTTAAAAGGCAGGGAGCTGTGTATCATTTGATCCTGAGGTAACCTTTACGAGTCAATCTCTCACACAAGCCTCTCCCTCCTTGGTAGACAGATGCATCATGGAGAATTTGGCAACGTTCAATCGATAACTGAAGTGATACAAGTAATGACACCAGTGTGAACACTGCTGGCTTAGATATTTCCTGTTTTTCAGAAGGAACAAGTACCCACTATTCCTGTCATTTTAAGGGAAAGAAACAAGGACCATTATTTCCTTGGCTTAATATTAAGTGGATGCCCACAGAATGTTGTCAATGAAAATCTGTGTCTAAGTGATAATATATTCTAGAATGCTTGGCCCACAGTTTTCTCAAGAAACAGCTCTTAAAATAACGAAGTTTATGACATTTCTGAATATCTTCGTGTTTTAGAATTCAGGGCGGTTGTTGCGGGGGTGGTTGCGGAGAAAGCCCCACAGGTTGCCCGATAGGCTTTCAGTTTGACTACTGACAACCTAACAAATCCATGAAGGCCCAGTTCATGTCCGCATCATTCTCACTGATAAAATAGGACTCACAGATAGCTCACTGTTGAAAAGAAGTTGGGAAGGAAGAGTTCTTGTTATTATAAATGCTCAGCCTGTGGAGGACTGGCCATAATCACATGCTGATGTTACTTTAATAGTTTTCAGAGTCACAAGAATGGGGTTATTTTTTCCATGAGGGCTTTTCAGTTTCTTTGTAGTTAGGAAATCAACCTACAAGATGGCCAAAGGAAAAAAAAAAAAAAGATTGAATTTGCAAAGAAGGCAGTCTCATAAAAGGAGGTCATCATTGAAAACTGACACAAAGTTGTGAGTTTGTTTCTGTTGGCTTTTTTTTTTTCCTTTAGAAAATAATTTTTGGGGATAAACAGCTAAAAATTTCCAAATTGGCAATAGGGTTTTCTTGGATCTGTTTGTATTTCAAACATGGCTGGAATGGAATACATACATAAACAAAACTAAACGAAAAACCAACTCTGCTTATTCTAATTGGATGGGCAGAAGAGATGGAGGAGGGCAATAGTGGATGATTGACAAGGTGGCCTGGGATGTACCTGGACCTTTGCTACCTAAACTGAGGTTTGTGGATCAACAGTGTGAACACCATCAGGGTGCTTGTTAGAAACACCGAATCTCAGGCTCTACACCAGACCTACTAAATCAGACTCTGCACATTTAATAATATCTTGTCTGCACATTAAATTTGTAAGAGTTTAATTCTATAGTTAGTGCTGTCGACACAGAAGAGCAAAAATTTTCATGAGGTATATAAATTGGAGTCATTACTACCTAAAAAATGTCTAATGAGGAAAGCTAAAGAGAGGGAGAGAGAGAGAGAGAGAGAGAGGTAGCACATACCTAAGTAAGCTTATGATAATGGCAGATAGTTTGCAGAGCACACTTTGAAAGAAAGCTGATTTCTTCTTGCTTTGACTGTGTAAATCTGTGCAATAGCATTAGAGGCTGAGAGGATGATAGGCTTGAGTTAATGCAGACATTTACATCTTGGTGGTATGTAAACATTTAACAACAAACAACAAAGAACCAGAGAATCTTTGTAAATTAGCATAAAAATCCAAGTCAGCTCAAGATGCGATGATCAGTAACTGACACAGAGGTAGAAAGAGAAGAATCAAATAAGCTAGGGAGCCAAGCTGTCCTGGTATCACTCCTTGGCCATATTTGGTTCTCAAGTCTCACCAGTTTGGGGTTGAGGACGGACTGTCAGTCAATATCAGCACCACATCACCTCTTAAGCAAAAATGAATTAATAGATGTTGGGCATCTACTGTGAGCTGAGTCCATTGTTGGGCTCCACAATGGATTTTGTTTTTCTTTTAAGTCTCATAGCAACCTAAAAGAGGAATGAATTCTCATTTCCATTTCCACTAATAATGAGGAAATTGTGGTTTAGCAAGGATAAAATAATTGCTCAAGGTCACAAAGCTAACAAGTGAAAAGAGCTGGGATTTAAAATCAGTTTAGTCTGAGTCTGAAGGCTCTCCCAACCAAGCCGCGCTGCTAAGTATAGATGTCATAGAAGTAAGTTAAATATTTAGTAAAATATATACAGTTATTACGATACTCGGATTTATACTAAACCAAATGCTTCTTTTGTCTTTATATAGTCTTGAATTAAAAGAAACTTTTCGTGTATTGTTAAAAATAGATATCTGAACAGGGAGGGCCCCAAATGGTAATTTTAGTAAAAATTCCAGCACCCACAGTCAGTGGCACAGATAGATGACACCCATTATAGGATCCCGCCTGAATCAGGCTTGCCTGCAGTTGGCTGTGCCACTCTTCATTTGCAAGTGTGACTGCCAACACATTTTCAAAGGATCATCATCATTCACTGCATCAATATGAATCCCCTTTCATCATAAATTGTCAGGGGACTTACCTTGGGGAAATAGAAGGTGGAAAACTAGACCACTGACATGCGTAACCCACAAGGAATATGTATTGGCCCAAGAAATAATTCATGATTTAAAGGTGCTGAAAAGATTTGTGATTGCCTGTGCACAGGTGCATGGACGTGCACACGTTCCCGCACACGCACTGATTGAAAGCTTGGATGGACGTCAAACTCTGGGCATAATAAACACAAAGAACCAGTGAAGGTAGTTCTGGACTTTCACTCCAATCAGAACAGTTTAGCTTCATCTGTTTAATGTATTGGGATTCCATGTAAAATTTGTTGGTGGTATTCAAAGACTTCTACTGCTTCAAAGAAAAAATACTTGAAAATGATCGTGATATAGATCAAATCCCTCACTTTGTGGGTAAGAAAGTGAGAAAGATTCAGAACCTATGACTACTTTGTGTGTGCCTGCTGGATGCTAGGCGCCGCGCCAGAGATTTCCAGGATGTCTCCATTCCTCGTCTACATGCTGACTAAGACAGTTACGCTGAAAGAGATGAGTTAGCTTGCCTAGGGCACACAGTGCTCAAGACAGACTGAAGGCTAGAGTCCGGGACTATTAACCAGCAAGTTCTGTACTTTCCCCAGAATGCCTTATTGCTGGTGTGAAGATAAGACACGTCGGTCTTTCCATCCTACTCCCAGGTTGGTTCATCGAACTCTGTTTTCATACTCTTCTCTGTCTACAGGAAGAATACAATCTTAATCCACAGGATCTGTGTACTAAGCTGTTTAGCAGATGATGCACAGATTCACACTAGTCTGTTTCTTCCCTTTCCGGCCAAGAACACCAACAAATGTTCAAGCTGCCATCTTGACTCTGGATTTGTTCTTTCACCCAAATATGTAAGTTTTACTATGGGGTAGAGACTTCTTACTGTTGCAGTAGACCCTCACCCACAATAAAATGAGCCATAAAATGTATCTTATCACTTAGTTTTACACTTAAGGAGAAATAGTATTCTCCTCCATATGGTTAAAACATTAAATGCTCACAAAGCCACTTTGCTCATTCACCTCACATATGGGAAATAAATCAATATAGCATGTGAATGAACTTCAATATAGTCTTAAACTTGACCCATGTTTAAGTTTAACCCACTGAACTTGATGTTACAACGGATTAAATTTATTATTTTTCCATAATGTTATTCCCACTTAAATTGCAAGATAGGGCAAGATGTGGAAAAGAGAGAAAGTGTCCTAGTTAACCACTATTTAAGGTAAAAATCGATAAATTCTGAGACACAAGTTAATGAGGAAGGGTGGTCCACTCAATGTTATTGAGTGAATAATGACTGAATAATCATAATTTAGTACATTCCTGGCACACTTTCCTTCGTTGCAGTGGTGCCTTGCAGTTTAAAGGGGTAGGATGTTGGGACAGAGAAATAGAAAGAGGAGCAATACAGAGTTCTGCAGCAGATAAAATATGTACTTGACATTTAGGGTTCCTTTTCTTTCAGATTCAGAAGACTGAGCACTTCTGGCTCCCCAACAAATATCTGGGTGGTGGACTAAAGTCTAACAGTTCAACCTATGTGATTTCACCAGGGTTAGAAGTGAATTTGTGAGCTAATAGTCCCCATGTTCAGGGGAAGAGAGTAAAACAGATACGAAAGGAAGGATCATGACAATCAATCGGTGAGATTTGGGAAAGTAAGCAATGATGAGCGCTCTCTCTTTCCTAAAAAATATCCCATGCTCAGCACCTACAACTTGACGCTTTGTCTTTAATTTGACCCTTTGTCTGTGATGACAATGACGAAGCACATTCCAGCTCACAGAAGCTTCCTGTGGCAGCAGTAATTGCTGTTTCAAAGAAGAAAATAGTTATAAAGAGAATTTTTTTCCTTTATTTTATTTCTTATTCATATTTTCAGCAGGAGGAAATCTACGTGAAAAGACAGATGATGTAGAAATATACGTTAACATAATAGATACCAAAACTGTCAATTCATTGGAATTTTATAAATTTGCCAACATTTGTCAGTGGGCTCCATCGCCCCAAGTGTCTGGTGTTTCCTGAATGAAAAATAGGTTCTTGAAGGACTGTCTCTTATTCCTCAGTCACTTGGAAAATAGAGAATCACAGAATACTCCAGTAGGAAGGAACCTTTGACATCATTGAATTCAATTTCCTTATTATCACAGTTAAAGTAACTGAAACCCAGAGAAGGTAAGTAACTTGCCTGAAGCCAAACAGTATCAGTCTTCAAACTTCTCTCCCTCTTCTTTTTCTATTTTTGTCCTATGTCTTAGCTGGTATCAGATGAGTAATTTATAAAAGGTTAGAGTTGGAAGAAATGTTAAAGATGACCTGTGTTACCACTTTCTCCTTCCCAGTGTGTACCTACCCAGTATTTGCTTGAAAACCTCCAGTGACAATAGATTCACTATAAAAAAAAAATTCTAGGGCAGTTTTTACTAACACATAAACAATTTCTAAGAGATTTCTAATTTTCTTTAAATGTAAAGGTATTAGAAAAAGTAATGAGTTGACCAACTGCCAAATTCCTTTTAACCCTTTGATTACGGTAAGAACAGAAGCTGTAAACATTATGATTAATGCTGTGATATTGGAGACTCCAGTGAAACAGATCAAGTTCAGTTATGCATTAAAAGGACCCTTATCAACTTGAAAGAGTTCATTTTCTCTCCTAAAGAGTGACTTGAGCCCCAGGGAAAATAAGGCTGTGTTAATAGGATTATTTAATTTCCCCAATTTTTCTCTTTTCTATTTAATATTTCTCCTAATTGAACTATGGAAGGAGCAACTGCCTTGGCAATAGATCAATATCTCATTTTTGGAAGTTAATTTTTTTAAAAGAAACTTGGGTTCTTTTAGGGGAAAAGGGCATGATGATACATAATGAAAAATACCGTAATCATCCTGGCAAATTTTCTATGTGAAATTTCAACAGAATCCATCAATTATAGTAAATGGCCAATAAAAATGTTCAATCAAAAACTCATTTTAAGATACATTGTTAATGAACTGTATATAATGATGCTTAATCAAAACTCGACATGATCGCATGGGAGAAAAGTTCCACAGGACCTCAGGAGCACTATTGTTCTGAACAAAAGATAACAATAAAAGTGTATAATTAATAGCCTACGGTCATGTGGCACTCTCTGGGGAAACTCATTTTCATAACAAACTCTATTGTTTTTCAAAACACAGAAACTGTTCCATAAGAGCACTAATGCCACAAGCAAGAAATCACCATTTTTCAGGCTGTTTTTATTTGACATGTGACTTTTTGTGGTTGTACCACACTAAAGCATGTCTAAAATGCAAAATCAGTGAATGAAGCTGCTGACCACAAAGACGGAAAAAATTCACTTCTGCCTGTATTTTACATCTTCAAAATCTAGAAATGACACACCATTAAAGAAAATGATTCCAATAGGATATCTGTATCAAATTAGTCTGTATGGAGCATTTATCTCTTCTTGGAGGGACAGTGTAATAGTGATGGATAACACAGGCTACTGTAAGATCCTGAGATACAAATGAAAACACTCACGGAAAAGTTTAGAGTAAGAAATACAGTAATTCGTGAAAGCCACTTTATTAAACATTACCTGAGCCGCTGTTTTAAAGCTAGCATGTGAGTTTAGATCATTGTCAACCCTCCAACTTCAGTGTATCTATTATTAGTAATAATATTTTGCATCTAATATACATGCAGCCCATATATAGACCCCCAAAATATAAGTCTATGCCAATTTTATTGACAGGAAAATAAAATAATTAAGGTACACTTGCCAAGAACATATTGGAAGGCATGTGGTCCTTTTATGAAGGTTATCAATCAGAAACCAGTACTGCAATATTTTACTGTGATAAATTTGGGCTAAAGCCATTGGCTCCAATGCTGATATATAGTTTATTTTTCATAAATAGGCATATTAAGTATGAGACATAGTTCTAACCGTGTAAACTAAAATATATTAATGTCCCCTATTTTAGCTGCATCCAAACTCAAAATTAAGGACATGGTAAAGCCGATGTATGTTTTCAAGTCCATCACTTTAGAGTCCTGTGATAGTTAATACTCAAAAGCTCTGTAAATCAGATGGCCTTTTGACCCAAACAGCAAGAAAATCACAGCTGAAGAATGGAAAAAATCTTCCGTTTTTCCATTAAGCCTCATAAGCAATATGAGAATGGTTAGTTAATCATTCTCAGAATGGTTACTCATGAAAACATTAATACTGGACACATGCAAGCACTTATTCAAAAAGACTCTACATTGAGAGCAGAAAACCATGGACAAACAATTCCAGTGACTCTGTATTGTCAAAAACAAAATAAAATGGAACAAACTTAAAAAACAGAATCTGTGATTTCCTCCAGGGAAATCTTGATTATATATATATATATATATATTATTTATACTTTTAAAATTATTTATATATATATATAGAAATTATTTATGCATTTAAATAATTTAGGCTTTCCCTGAGATTATCTATAGACAGATAGGTATCTATTATCTACAGATAGTTAATCTCAGGGAAAGCCTCAGGCTTAATCAAAGGTCTGCAGATAAGGTCCAAACAGATTGGTAGTAGTTATACTACAGTCAGAACCAGAGAAGGGGAGAGGGTGTCTAGGCAAAGACCCAGAAAGACAAGCTGAAGTAACAAAGATTTACTGGTGAACACCACCTTTTAATGAACTCCTCATTACTTCCTAGAGGTTCCATTCAGAGAAGGCCATTTCTAATATAGCTACAAGAAAATGGGTGTGGATCCTCATAAGAGCCCTATCTCTCCTGTGGATGCCTTCTAAAAGCAGAGTAGGCTCAGGTTTTAGTATAACGTCTCTTCTGGACTGGAGAATGAAGCAGTCAGGGTCCGATTAGGAGACAGAAACTACAGCGGTAATTTAAACAGAAAAATGTAACATACAGAGTTATTAAATAGACAAAAAGGATTAATACTAACAGGAGTAAAGAGAATCCTAAAGATTACTGGAAGAGATGATGGGAGTAGCTGCTACTCCTAAGAATGAGAGAGAATATTCAAGAAAGAAACGAACTTGGAAGTCCCCATCCCTCTCCTCTCAATACTAAGAATGAGACCTTGTTGTAGACGGTGTGGCCGCGGCCCACCTGATGACACTGAAGCTCACTGAGGTACCACAGGCTGGGACTGGCAAGCAGGAAAGAGCCTGCTGGAGTGCCAGAGAAACCTGTTGGGCAGGGGGGCACTGCCGTGGGTGAACACTAGTGGGTCTCCCTGACTGCACTGTCCAGGAAGCTGCCCGCTGGAGTGCTGGTAATCCTCACTGAGAAGTCACTTGCTAGGGTGCCTGCAAGACTCTCTGAGAAGATGCTGGTCAAAGTGCTGGTAAAACTTGCTGGAGAATGTGCATCACTTGGTCTCTCACGTGAAGGTATCTGCCAGCCACTGCCCTACAGAAGCAAGAAGAAAAGCAACAGAAACAGGAGTGCTTGGAGAGTTCCTCCAGCATCTTCCACTGATAAAGTTTAACATGAAGCTAGGTGGTGAAAGAGAAATCTGTATATGATCCAGATTCAGTATCAGAAATCAGAACAAAGGAGAGTGGGTTTGGACTGAGAAGGCAACATACTGATAACTGGCACATGGGGATAATGAATCTGGGCACGAACATTCCAAATCTGATCTTCTGAACCGTATCTTTCCTAATCTTCAGGTTACTGGAGTTATCTTCACTGGAGACAGGACACCAGGATGGCCCACCTTCATGAAATCAAAAGACTAGGGATTGAAACTAGGAAAATAGTGTAGGGAACAAAAAACACAGCATAAACCTAGAAACAATAGGAAAATCCGTTGTTACCCATAACTTTGATGATACAGAAATGATTTTACAAGAAGACATGCCACTCACAGAATGGAGATACTAGGTCTCAGGCGAGAACTAGAGTCAGCATTTGCAGGAACCTGAGAGAGAGTGTTTGCGCCCTAGGTAAGTTTTCTTGCCTCACTCTAAACCCAGTTCTGTTAAGTCTATAATTACATGGCTCCCAATTTGCGCATTGTCTCCCAGCAACTGACGCATGCACGTGTGTGTGTATTCTATTTGTTGCCTTAATTGCTAAATAACAATCTATGAACTGAGATGCAGAGTATAAATATGTGAAAGTGAATAGAAGTTATGCCCCAGTTCTAAATTTCAATAGTATTAAAATAGATGACCAAACAACAATTTAAAAAGGAAACTGGATATTAGGTATCAAAATAAGATAGGGAGATTAGCACTGCTGGTTCAGTATTCAAGTGTGTAAATTAATTCATTGAGAAGGAGTGTTAACCAATGTTATTGTACTCTCAACACCTAAAGACTGCTGGAAATGAGGCGAGTCATTGGTAAAAGATTGATAGACTTTCAGTGTTTCCCAGTGCCAGTTCATAGATTCTGAATTTCATAGAGTACAAAGTATAATGTCAATTGAAGAAGGATGATAGTTTTAACTGAAGAACCAGCCTAGGCTTAATTTCAAATCCTACAAGCCAGGAAACATCAAAGTGGACAGACACTGAGTGGTCAATACCCATCTGAGCTATTTTTACAGGCTTGTTGACCCAAATTCCTCCTCCCCTCCCCAGCTCAGGCTCATTTTCTGAAATATTATTCTAGAGCCTCTTGAACACTGTTATAGCTTTAGTAACTCAGAATTGAGGGGATGGACGGCTGGAAAGAAGGGGGAAGGCGATGGCTCTTGAATCAGCATAAATACCTGTGAGCAGCCTGAGGAATTTCCCAAAAGGTGGAAATTTATCCAGGAAAGATTAGAAAGATATCTGAGTGAAAGTTGGATTTGATAACAGAGCAGAAAAAGTAGCAAGTGCGAGACATTTTCTAGGACTGGGCTTCAAAACTTAAAGGTACACGTAAGAGGATCTTGTCAAAATGCAGATCCTGTTGAAGTACACCTGAGGCACAGCCAGAGTCTGCGTTTCTAACAAGGTCCCAGGTAATGATGATGCCACTTGCTTTGCTGACCATATTTTGAAGAGTAAGTCTAAAGGGTGGTGGTTCTCTACCAGAGGA